GGGTGACTAAGGCCCGGGGTCCATCACCTACCTGAGAGGTTCTTTGTTCTTTCCAGGTACTCTTGCTAAGTGACTTGCTTCCTCATTGGGTCACTATTACCTAAGCAACTATACTTGTAACCTTATTGGTCGATCACAGCCTTTAACCCACATTGTGCCTTCATGGTTGTGTCCTATAAAACTTCCCTATAGGGCCAGGGATTTAGCTCAGTGGTTCCACCACCTGCCTCAAAAATGCAAGGTCCCAAGTTTGATCCCCAGTACCCCCCCAAAAAAACTTCCCTGTAAAGTAGGGTCCCCAGCTACCCATTCAGGTCCCCTCCTGCCTCTAGAAGCTATCCTCTGAATAGGTATTTTCATACTCGTAACCTCTGTTGTTCCTAAAATTCATTCTTCAATTTTAGAGAACATGAATTCAGTATATCAGACATCCAGCAGATTGGAAGAGATAATTTTTCCTTTATATCATTTGGAGGTCCTATTTCATCTTCTATAACAACCAGAGCCTGTGGTTACACCAGGCCAACTGCACTGACCCACTCTCCACATGGGAGGCCATAGCACTGGCCACAACCGGAAGTGGCCTAGCACTTGGGCCAGCATACTTCTCTGTGAGCCTGGATTAGGGGCCTCCTGCTTGTATATCTGTGTTAGTCAGCTTTGCACTGCTATAATGAAACACCTGATGTAAGTAACTTGGAACGAGAAAACACTTTGGGTCATAGTTTTTGACGTTCCAGTTGTGACCAGGGGGACCCATTGCTGTGGGCTTCTGGCGGGTGCCCAGATGTCACTAAGGCACCTGGGTCAAAAGAAAACAAACTGCTCACCTGGTGGCCAGGAAGCAAGAGGAAAGAGACACCGGGGTCCCCCAAATCCCATTCCAAGCCACAACCCAAGGTTTGCTGTGTCCCAACAGTACCACCCCGAGGAGCAGCCCTTTACCACATGACCCTTGGGGGACGGTCAACATCCAATCTACAGCAATGGCAGTGTACCTAACATCCCCATACCTGGCCTACTCTTCCCTGGGCTGGCCTGCAGTTTGAACAAAATCATTATAGTCGCAGCTATTCTTACAGTCTGTGCTAGCCCAGTGAGACACAACGAAAACTAGGCATCACAATGTGGAGTGACACGTGAACCTGCAGCATATTCAAAGTTCTGATAAGTCCTGAATGAATGAATTCCAGTGTTATTTAAACCCAAATCCACTCGACAACAGGGTAATTTTTCGCATAACATCTCTCAGCCTGTCACAGTGCTCTTTGAAACATCTATAGGGAATGGGGCCTCAGGGAAGGAAAAGAAAAAGCACGGTTTACATGCCTGTGCCTGGCTGAGTGCCGGGGGCTTGGCATGAATTTTCCCAGGCAATCCTTACAACGAGGAGCGATGACCCCCCAGTCGCTACCCTCGAAGGGGCGCCACGTCAGACACACGGGGCAGGCGGTGTCTTCCGAAGGCCTCCAGTCTCTCTAGTCTCTGGCTGCCCCTTGGCTGCAAACCTGCATCAGGATTTCCTTCTGAGCTAATCCTAATGGCCTCTGCTTATTGCAGAGACACTGAGATTCCTTGGGAGACAACAGGGCACAGATTGGCCTGCCACTGTGTCCTCATCACCGAGTTTGGGTTGGCAAAGCAGGGTTACTTCCCTTCTGCTGAGCCTCAGAGTCTCCATCTATACAATGGACCTATGGTCTGGGAGCAGAAAAGCACGGCTGGACAGATGTACCTAAAAGACCGGAGCACCCTACACTGCCGGTTTGAGGTTTCTAAAGACCGGACTGCGGTCTACGGTTCTGACACCTGGGGGCGCGCTGGACTGGGACTCTGGTTATGTGGGTGGAGCGGCCTTCTCCCCAGCCCAGCCTGACCTTAGGCTTTTACTGGGGTCTTCTTGGGTAGTTCTTGGACATGACAGAAATTATTAATATAGTTGTGAAAATGATAGACAGATGAAGTCCTGCCTGAATTCCAGGTGAATAATGTTTCCAATGCCAATTCAAACCGGGCGTGGTGACGCATACCTGTAATCCCAGCACTCGGGAGGCTGAGGAAGGAGGATCGCTGCGAGTTCGAGACCAGCCTGGGCTACATAGTGAGTTCCAGGTCAGTCTCAACTACATAGTGAGACCCTGTCTCATAGAAAGCCCCCAAAAATATATTTATTACAGCCAAAGACACATTGCAATGAACCCCCTCCTCATTTCAAACACACGTACTCCACGTTCTTGACACTTCCTGAAGCAGCCCTGGATGTCCTCTGTTGTGCAGCTTTTTAGTTGTGCTGTCAGCGCTGTCTTGATGTCCTGAATCAGTTCAAAATGTTGACCTTTCATGGTCATTTTGACCTTGGGGAAGAGCCAGAAGTTGCACAGTGCCAGGTCCAGTGAGTAAGGAAAATGAGGACGCACTGTAAGGTTTTTACAAGCCCGCTCTTCCACTGGGTGGCACTCAGCAGCAGCATTCACTGTATTTTTTAATCACGCCTCCTAAAGATACAAACTGCTTTAGAGAACTGCTCCGGGAGCTGCTTCCGAGAGAGGCAAGAATGTGGGATGTGCGTCTGAAGTGAGAGGCAGTATTTCGATTGCATTAATGGCAATGTTCTTTTACAGTCGTAATCTGTAAAAAAAAATTTTTTTTTTAATCTAAACGTTCACCATAAATTTTGATCATCCCACGTAGACCCTGCTGGGTTTTGCTCACACTTCGTCCTCTGTCTGGAGTGCTATCCCCCTTCCAGTCCTGAATGGGCCCCCTCGAGTTCAAGACTGATCTCAGGAGGGGCCTCGTCCGTGAGGCCTAAGGTCTGACTAGGGCCCTGGTGTGTCCCTGGCGACACCCATGGCAGCCACTGACCCTGCTCCTCTCCCCATCTCATGCATAAACCTTTTCTTCTGAGTCACCGGTCTCCCCAGCAGAGAGAGCTCCCGGTCAGCCACGTAGGTGAACGAGCCTCAGAACCACCTTGCTCCACACCACTCCTCCTCACACTGTAAAGTCCCAAGGACAAGGACTGCATTGCCTTTATCTTTCTGTCCCCTGCAGCACCTCGCAGGGCTGAGGCTTTGACTCTCAGTGCATATTTGGCAACACTGCCGTAGCTCCCCTGGCAAGGTACAAAGTGACTTTGGTCACAGATTGCTGGGCTTGGATCCCAGATTCTTACTGGTATAATTGTCTGCAGTTTACTTGGCCCCTGAAAACTTGTCCTCTCCTTCGTTATAAGATGTGACATCCAGATGAAACAAGGCTGTGTGTGTAAAGCATTTGGAGCTTGATTTCTGTGTCCCAACCTTATAGAGCATGCTTGAGCCACAACATGTTGGGTGACTCAAGTGTGTCTTGTGCTGGGCACATAGTAGCTGCTCAATAAAGGTGATGTTCTGCTTTCCCAGGGCCAAGAACAGTTCCTTGCAGAAAGTAGGTACCCCAAAGAGAAGTCAAACTGAACTCACCAGAGCCTTGAGCAATCACACACTTAGGTACTCAGTAAATATCTAGTCAGATTTTTTTTCCCACAGGCATCCTGGCCCAGATCCATCTTGAAGTTGTTCCCTCTTATGAGAGGAGGGTGTTGGGAGAAATGCGGAAACATGGCTTCCCTTCTCTTGGCAGTGCTTTTTGATTTTTCCCAAGCAAGACGATGACCATAACAGACTTCTGGTGGTCTCCAGCGAGTCCCTTCTGCCTGTAGCTATATCCTTATAGAGTCTCCTCCCACAAAGTCTGGGTTTGATTAGAGGGCCCTTTGGCCACGGGGACATTAATACTTGATAACAAGGGTTGATAGAATCCTTGCATACTGAATCTTGTCACTTTGAAATGCCCCTTCTTAGAACCCGGTTACCACCGCATGGAGACACCCAAGCCAGCCTTGGGGAGAGACACGCTGGGGATAGAACGATGCCCAGTCAGCCCCCACCTGCAGTACCCACCCTAGCTGCAAGGAATACCTCCAGCTGTGGTGCCCATCTCTCCTCATAGGACCCAACCCGGTTGTGGTACCCGCGCCAGCTGTAGGACCCTTCCCGGCTTAGGCACCAAGCGTGTGTGTCACAGACACACGGAGCAGGAGGGAGCCTCCTTCTGGGCCCCATTTGTGTGACTGGGAGCACGTGCAGTATTTTAAGCCATTAATTCTGGGTGAAGATAAGAAATGTCTTGAGCAGAGCAGGTCCTGGGAGAACAAGTCAGCTGGCTTAGAGACTCATCTAGTGAAAAGCTCCAGGATAGACTGTAAAGCACAGCTGCCTGGGACCCCTCCTCTGGGGGATTCCTCCCTGGGCTTCAAGTCCCCAAGTCCTCCCCCGTTGACATCAGAGATCATCATCAATTAAAGATCTTTTGGCTGCCTAAACGGGGAAGAGATGCCCCGGCTTACAGCACAGGACACCAAGTGGGCAGCTTCTACCTGGTTCACGGTGTAGCTAGTTCCTCTGGTCCTACGTTTTCTGCCAGGGGCAGCGTACACCGCTGTACAGCTCCTTGTTCAAGACAGCAGGAGTGAGGGATGCTGCCCCAGCATCCCCAGCACAGAAAAGAATTTCCCAGAAGGCACCACACACGCACACCTTTCCTTGAATCTCAGTGGTCCTCTCTGACTCACGTGCCCATTGCCGAACCAATCGCTTATGAGAGGGATAGGTGGGAAGGAGACTTGCCCTGAACCAATCAAACCCACCCCTAGATTGCAAGGAATGTGTGCACTCCAAATCCAAGTGTTCATGGTGGGAGAAGTGGCTATCTGGAAATGACTGAGGTCTGTTAGGGACGGCATGGCAGGTACAGTCCAGCAGTGTCCCCTGTAGGACACACCCACCAAGAGCAAGAGGGAGAATGGTATTTTTACTATGGTCACTGAGATGGGATGGTCCTATGCATTCTTTCCTGATCACAGCGGAAGCGGGTGGGGAGTAGCGAGGTCTAGGGGATAGTTCGGGCCCTCAGGGCTCTGACTTCCTCTGGTGGCCTATCCAACACCATGCCCTGGTCCCCATCCCGGCATGAAGCAAGCCATTGAGTGGAGGAGTAGGATTCTGATTTGTCCTTTCTTTATTGTTAGCACTTTCTTTGAGCTGAGGGTGCCTCTTCTGTGCCATATCTAGTACTTGGAGGCCCTGGATTTGCTCTTTTCTCTGTATTTCTCCTCTAGTGCTTTCTGTAAGTTCGTGTTCATGGCATTTTTCTGGTGCCACCGTCCTACAGAGAGTGGGAGAGGAGACAGCCCAGATCACCCAGCAGCCTCCAGAGGGCCTGGACCCCAGCAGTGACCTGTATCTCTCCAAGTCCACCCCAGGGCTCCCCTCTCCAGTTCCGGCTGCTGTCTGGGCCTCAGAGCCAGCACACCCTGCCAGTGAGGGAGCAGGGTGCACCTCCCACTGCCCACGATCCCACCTACCCAGGTCGTCTGTCTTCCTGCCGTGCCAGTGTTCCAAGTCCCGCACTGATTTCTCCAGCACCTCTGGCGTGTAGGAAGCTTTCATGAGGCTCTTGGTCTCTTGGGGTGGCCCTGTGGGACAACATGAAGAAATCCCCAGGATCCCAAGTCAATGGTGGTGGGGAGCTGGGTGACTTAGAACAGGCAGCAGTTTCCTCTCTGGATGGAGGGTTGTGGAAGGGAAGGGGAGGGCGAGGGTTTCAGAGTAAAACAGCTCTGGATTCAAACCCCCAGCTCTACTATTTATGGGCAGTGCGGATAAGCTTTTAAAGCTTTCTGAGCTTCAGTTTCTTCATCCAAAGGAGTAAGATTTCCTTGCAGTGTTGCAAAGATGGAATGACTGAACATTCATTCCCCAGAGCATCTGGACGTGACAGCAAATGCCTGTGTCTTCAGGAAATTTATCTCAGTGTCCCAGATTAAAGCGCAAACAAGGAAATAAACTACAGCCATGAAGAATCATCAGAAACACCAGAAAGAGGACCAAATCCTGAAAGATAGTAAGGATATAAATAATACAATGCAGGGGCTGAGAGGGTTGTGGATTGGACCCAGGGCCACATGCATGAGCACACGGCCTCTGAGCTACATCTCAGGATAAGAACTCCTTGTCTAGGCACATCCAGGTGCAACTTAGAACAGCAGAGACCAAGAACTCTTAGAGGTAGGACACAGGCAGACACGGTAGCGCACACCTGTAGTCTTAGCTACCCAGGAGGCTAAGGCAGGAAGACTGCAAGCAAGTTCAGGACCAGCCAGTTTAAGATCTTGTCTCAAAAATAAAATTTAAAAAGGGTAGGAGGTGGGGCTTGGGATGTAGCTCAGCAGAACAGCCCCTTCCTGGCAATCACAAAGTCCTGAGCTTAATCCCTGGTATTAAAAAAAAAAAAAAAAATGGCAGACGTTGCTGAGGAGTCTAGGTCAGTGGTAGAGTACTTGTCTAGCAGATGTGAAGCCCTCAGTTCAATCCCAGTACCATTTAAAAAAAAAACAGAGAAAAACCAGGCATGGTGGCACACACCTGTAATCCCAGTACTCGGGAGGCTGAGGCAGGACAATCGCTATGAGTTCGAGATCAGCCTGGGCTGCATAGTCAGTTCCAGGTCAGCCTCAACTACATGGTGAGACCCTGTCTCAAAAAAACCAAAAAGTAAATAAATAAATAAATAACCAGATAAAAGAGAGTTTACTTATAAAGATTGATAACTGATTTGCTTAACCATCAAAGACCAAAATATGCATCAATATCAAAATACTAATAGAAAGTAATTGGCAATCTAGATGTATCCATAATACACTTTTTTCTTTTGAGACAGGGTCTCACTATGTAGACCAGATGGCCTCAAACTCTTGGTGATCTTCCTGCCTCAGCCTCTTGAGTTCTGGGATGACAGGCTTGTGCCACCAGCCTGGCCTACAATCATCTTCTAAGATTAACCAAAAAATATTTTTCTAGCAAAGCCTAAAACTGATAAAAAACAAAACCTCATTACTGTGACCTTATGAACAACATTCTTGAGGAAGAAAAAAATAATCCCAGAAGAGAGCCCTGTGATAGGAGAAAGGATGGCAGACGCAGAAAGGACAAACTGAGTAAATTTAGCCATGAATTCATGATAACAACTGTGCTAGCACCTAAATTGTGAGATAAAATGATGAAGGCAATGGCCTTTAATCCAGTTCTGGGGACGGATCTCAGGGCCCTGCCTGTGCAAGGTAGACACACACCACTGAGCCACAAGCTGGGCCCACTAGTCACTTTTGAAGATTTACAGAATACAAACAGTTCTAGGAGCTTCACATGAACTCGTGCATTGAATCTTCTCAAGCAGCCAAACAAGCAGATGCAATTATTACCCTCATGTGACTGGCGAGATCACTAAAGCATGGAGAGGTTCAGTTGCTTCTTCTAAGTTACACAGTTAGTAAGTGAACATCTCGGGACTCCAGACTCAGATCCTTGGCCCAGGCTCCACAGTTTAAATGACTGTGTTCATGTAGGCAACTTTGTAAAATAATAGCATACAAGCAGACAAGGGGTGGAGAAAGCAAGGAGAAAGCCTTCCATGTCCTTACAATGTTACAAAAACCTGAATGCCTTGATTGACTTCAGAATTTGTTCATTCTGACCATTAAAATGCCCAGGAGCCAGGGAATTAGCTCAGTGGTTCTACCGCCTGCTTTGCAAGTGCAAGGTTCTGAGTTCAATCTCTGATACAAAAAAAGAAAAAAGAAAAAGAAAACACCAAAATGCCCAAGGTAGCCACTAAACGAACAGGAAACATCTTGTGGCACACACCTGTGATCTCAGCACTGAGGAGGCAGAGGCAGGAGGATCCCTGTGTATTGGAGGTCAGCCTGGACTCCATAGGGCATTCAAGGGTAGCCTGAACTACAAAGCAAGACCATGTATTAAAAAATAAAAAAGAACGAAACAGGGCCGGGATTTAGCTCAGTGTTTCCACTGCCTGCCTTGCAAGTGCAAGGACCTGAGTTCGATCCCCAGTACCACCAA